TGTAGAGATTACTAAAAATAAACAAACTTGAAAAAGGTTTAAAACAAACAAAATAAAACTATTTTCCAACTTCCTTTTACACAAAGAAGCTACTTGCAGGCTGATATCTTTCCATATTTCAATTTTTGTTATACAATTCTGCAAATACATGTGCACTTCCATACATAAACATTCCCCATCAACAATAGTTCAAAAAATTTCTGAAATTGATGAAGGGAAGACATTTTTAGCCTCCTTATTCATAACAGATGCAAAATGCAAATTATTTGGCAAAAACCTAGATACAGGAGCGCCTGGTTGGGCCAGTCGGTAGAGCATCCAACTCATGATCTCAGGGTTGTGAGTTCAAGCCCCACGTTGGGTGTAGAGATTACTTAATAAAAAAAATAATAAAATTGCTGCGCAGGCTCAAGCCTGGAAGATGGTGGCGGCTGAAGCAGGCCATCTGAGGCGGCGGTGTTGGCCCTGCTGCTGCGGAGCCTGCGTCTGCCTGGGAACTGTTGGCTCCAGCAGGGCTCTATCACAAGAAGATTGTTGATCATCATGAAAATCCTAGAAATGTGGGGTCCCTTGACAAGACATCAAAAAATGCTACAACTGGATTGGTGGGGGCTCCAGCATGTGGTGATGTAATGAAATTGCAGATTCAAGTGGATGAAAAGGGGAAGATTGTGGACTCCAGGTTTAAAACAGTTGGCTGTGGGTCTGCTACTGCCTCCAGCTCGTTAGCCACTGAATGAGTACAAGGGAAGATGGTAGAGGAAGCCTTGACCATCAAGAACACGGACATCGCCAAGGAGCTCTATATACCACCCCCACCCCCCCTCCCCACCCCACCCCCGTGAAACTGCACTGCTCCATGCTGGCGGCAGATGCAATCAAGGCTGTGCTGGCTGACTACAAACTGAAATAAGAAACCAAAAAAGGAGAGGTGGAGAAGAAATGAGCCCTCAGCAAAGCTTGCAGCCAGGTCATACCTGCTGTCTGTCCACTCGCTGTGCAATCACTATAGATGTTCGGGAGCCCCCCACACTACAGTAAAGGAGCTCTGAGACACACACAGCACTTGCTGGTCACGTGGTGGCTCACATGCAAGCAAAATACACAGTTTACTCATTCCAAGTCCTGTGCCTTCTTTCAGCCCACTCTTATTGCCTTAACCCAGTTTGTGTATATTTTGAATTGTGTGTATGGCTTCAAAACTGAAATCAGTCACAAAGTCTCAAGTCTCAAGCGGTAGTCCAGGAAGTGCGCAAAGATCTAATTTCACCCGAATCTATCTTGGAGAAGATTACCAATAGAAGGCCATGGTATGATTATTTGATAGAACTAATTATTGTACATAAAACAGATCTGCATATAAAATAAAAGAATGTAAGACCAAAAATAATAATAAAATTAAAATTAAAAAATTTTTAAAAAGAATGTTTAAAAAAAAACCTTCTAGATACAAATGATGAAATAATACAACCAACGTATCCATGCTTCTCAAGGTAAAGTCCGAGTTTCATGGTCTGCAACATCAACTCAAAATTTAAGGTTAGTTTTAAAACTTGCCTTTCAAGTTTCAGAGATGGATTATTCAATCATACGGTTAACTAATTTTCATACTGAAAAGGCATGACCACAAATAATCATTAAGAGTCATCAATTATTTAAATAGATTCTAACTGCTATTTACCAATTCTCATCTATTAACTTTTAGAAAAAAGTATTCTTTTTGAATATTCTTTTGAATGAAAAAGTGTATTGCTTCTACAGGATTAACCAGGAACACCTGAGCAGTGTGTGAAACCTGCAAAGTGCATGCATATAGGAGACCATCCCTATGTGGCAAATAATCCTCTCTGCTCACTGTGACAAAGAATTAGCCAAACGAAGGCCCCGAATCAGATGTCACAGCTACTCACAAGAATGGGAACAATTTCCTCAAAACTCACTGAACAGCAGTAATGCTGTATTTTATATTTACAAAAACTCCAATCAGCAATGAGGTGCTCTCGTCAAAAAGGTGCTTTCTCCTACACCTCAACTAGATCTAGTCTCAAACAATATTTGAAATGAAAGAGGTAAAGAAATGTATATCCCCATGCCCGCCACTACAAGGAAAGTGCTGAATACTGCGCAGTGACAGAGACACACATGTGGGTGTCCCCATGAATGGGTGAGTACGTGTACGTGGTGTGTATATGACTAAAAGCCAAAGGCCTCATTCATCTGGTTAGTCATCAATGCTCCATCACAGTTACAGGAATTCAAGTTGTGGGAAGTGTCCAAATGCTAGAGAAAGCACAGTGAAATATGAAAACTTAGGAAAATAAGTTTGTGGAGTCTCCAAGTCCTTTTGATCTTTTCAATTTTTCTGTTCATTTTCACTATTTTCTTCTTCTTTTTTTTTAAGATTTTATTTATTTATTTGACAGAGAGAGACACAACAAGAGAGGGAACACAAGCAGTGGGAGAGGGAGAAGCAGGCTTCCCGCTGAGCAGGGAGCCTGATTCGGGGCTCGATCCCAGAACCCTGGGATCACGACCCGAGCCGAAGGCAGACGCCTTCGAGCCAAAGGCAGACTGAGCCACCCAGGCGCCCCACTATTTTCTTCTTTCCTTCTTTGTCTTTTCACTTCAACTTCTATTCAGTGACTTTTTCCTTCTCCTTTCTTAAGTAAAAGCTATTGCTTCAGGCTAAAGTGTTCCCAAGTAGTTTCACCTCTTCTAAGACCCTCCTCACTACACACATACACACCACCCCCTACTTAGGTGAGGCAACCAAGGACAGCCAAAGCTATGGGCAGTGGCGTGTGCTGGCACACAGCAGATACACAGTTGTTTTGCTTTACAATGAAAAAGTACTCACTGTTCAAAACCAAACTACCATCAGCTCCAGATACAGGCCTCAGAAGATGTGACATGCCTGTTCAGGGCATACTTCACAGGAAACCTTCAAAGACCCTGCCTGCCACTGATGAGGAGGCAACAGAAGAAAAGCAGTAGAACACATCCACTGCCAGTGTTGCAACCTGTTCTTCCAGTCACGTAAATAACAGGTCACCCAGTCACACAGGCACTCTGAAGACACCCCCAGCAAGTGAGTAACCAGTTAGGTCAGAAAATGACAGCTATCTTACACAAGAGTGGCAGCACTGCCATCAAGGAAGTAATTCAGGGTGTTGATTCAGACTAACGGAAGTAGGGCAAAGGTCTATTCCTGGTACCATTCTCTGGGCCATAGGATGACACCCAGCAGCTCATCAAAACTGCAGCAAGGAGAAAATCTGGGGGCACCTCCAAGCCCGTGGAGTAAGTCTGGGTTTAGTTTTGATAACCCTGGAATAGAAAAACCAGCATTTCCAGCTAGATCTTTCAACACATAAGGAAGTCCCTCATTAGCTGTTCCATGAGGTGCTTCTTAAAATAATTAAGCCACAATCTATCAAAGCCCTGCCTGGACAAAAGGCTTTTGAATGGATCATGTTTCAAACAGTGCTTAGTTTCTCCTATGAGACTAGCACTAACCCTCTCCAGGCTTTCCCCCCAGAGTCAGTTTCTACTCAAAACACAAAATTCCCAGGACAAACAAGCAAAGAATAAGTGGATTCTGCACTAAGAAAGACTAGAAGACTGTATGGATCTCTGTGCAATATACCTAAGATCTGACCGGCAGAAAAATGGCCCGTAGTCATCTTGTCCCTTGGGTGGTCCAAAACAACACAGACACTGAGAGCACCCCACAGAAAAAGACTATTCTTTTCAGGAATCAGTCCTGAGCCAGTAAAAGTGTCTAGAGATAATCAATAAAAATGCTACTACCTGGGGCGCCTGGGTGGCTCAGTCGTTAAGCGTCTGCCTTCAGCTCAAGTCATAATCCCAGGGTCCTGGGATCGAGCCCCAAGTTGGACTCCCTGCTCCGCAGGAAGTCTGCTTCTCCCTCTCCCTCTGCCCCCCTACTGCTTGTGTGCTCTCTCTCTCTCTCAAATAAGTAAATCTTAAAAAAAAGGGGCGCCTGGGTGGCTCCGTTGGTTAAGCGACTGCCTTCGGCTCAGGTCATGATCCTGGAGTCCCGGGATCAAGTCCCGCATCGGGCTCCCTGCTCGGCGGGGGGTCTGCTTCTCCCTCTGACCCTCTTCCCTCTCTTGCTATCTGTCTCTCATTCTCTCTCTCTCAAATAAATAAATAAAATCTTTAAAAAAAAAAAAAAATGCTGTCATTTATGAAGCCCTTGCCATGTGCCAGACTCTGTGCTACCCACTTCCATACATTCCTCATTTCATCCTGATCATGGTGCTGTGAAGCACATGCAAACAAAGCCAGGGTCTGTCTGCTTCTGAAGCCCGCAGTCACCATCCTGTACTAACAAGAACCGAACCAGCCTCGAAAAGAGTGTAAAGAAAACTAGTTAAGCTCCAACTAAATTAATATCGCCCAATTTTAACAGGATTAATACGGGATCAGTTGTCAGAAAATGAAGAACAGTTTATGGTGTGCAAGGGGGTGGGGTGGGATTAAAAATACCCTCCCTAGGCGTTTCAGGAATGTTATTGCTGGTCATCCTTTAAGACCTACCACACATGCTCTTTCGCAAAACCTTCACAGGCTAGCAACAATGTTTTCCTGAAATGCCTATGCTGTCCTCCTACTCCCCCAGGGAATCTGACTTTTTTGCATGTATTTTAGCTATGCATGTATGTGACAACCTCCACCCGTTACACCACAAGCTCCCTAAAGAAAAGACTCTAACTCCAGCTCACACTGGCACAAGAGCCTTGCACAAGGCAAGTGCTCAATGATATGTTTCATAAACAAGTCTACTATTTGGTTTCATTTGTAAAGCCAAACCAAACAAACCAAGTCTACCACACTGTGAACTCTTCAAAGGCTATGTGTTCTCAGCACCAGCAGAGGGCGAATCCTAAACAATGTTTATTTAATAAATCAAACATCATACTAAGATTCGCTCCTTCTATAATCCATCACATATTCAAACATTGCCACATTAATACCTTTGACAACGATGCTGCTGTTCCAGGTTTTACAAGTTTGCCTCCTGTAGATGCTGAAGAGCTGTTTTCAGGTTTCGTTTTTTCTACTGTTTGCGTTTTGCTTATCCCAGACACTTTAGGCACTGAGCCAACACTCCTGCTTGCTTTCTTCATTCTGGGTTGCCTCTTCGTGATGCATTTACAAGCAAATCTGTGGAAAGAAATGGCATTATACTAAGAACACAACTGGAAGAAAGCTCTTTAGAAATTTGTCTCTGAAAATTTTTACCATGCAATAAATAAAAATGTTTGAAAGCTGGGCGCCTGGGTGGCTTAGTCCCTAAGTGTCTGCCTTCAGCTCAGGTCATGACTGGGAAGCAGGAAGCCTGTTTCTCCCTCTCCCACTCCCCCTGCTTGTGTTCCCTCTCTCGCTGTCTCTCTCTCTGTCAAATAAATAAATAAAATCTTTAAAAAAATGTTTGAAAACTAGATATTGATACAGAAAATAAAAAGTTGAAAAGCTCTTAGACTTGCTAATCAGAATGCACCCCACGTTTAAGGCTTCCTCCTTGAATATTACTAACTTGAAACTATTTCTAGTTCAGTCATTAAAAGGAATACCCTAGGGGCCGCCTGGGTGGCTTAGACAGTTTAGGGTCTGACTCCTGATTTTGGCTCAGGTCATGATCTCAGGGTCCTGAGACTGAGCCCACATCCAGCTCCATGCTGAGCCTGGAGCCTGCTTAAGATTTCTCTCTCCCTCTCCCTGCCACCCCCCCACCCGCCACCTGCAGGACCACATGCACGAACTCTCTAAGAAAAAAAAAAAAGGGATATCATAGATCTCTAATGGAACTGGCTAAATACAACACAGCATACATTATCCTTAGCAATTAATGAAGCAATAATCATCCTGGCATTTGAGAATTAGCCATTTTGTAGGTATTTAAGTTAAGGGTGAGCATATTTTCTAAATTATCTGGCACAGTCCTAATTTCAAGTATCTGCTGTGATAACCTCCCATAAGCCAGGAGAACATCCCAGAAACTCCAACATTTAGGCTCTAAATATATTTCCCAGCATATCTCTTTTATCAAGAGGCAGTATCAAAATTCCTTATCAGAACGTAAACCTCAGGGGCACCTGGGTAGCCCAGTCAGTTGGGTGCCTGCCTTCGGCTCGGGTCATTGTCCCAGAGTCCTAGGATCGAGCCTCGCATCAGGCTCCCTGCTCAGTGGGGAGTCTGCTTCTCCCTCTCCCTCTGCCCCTCACCCTGCTCATGCTCTCTCTCATGTGCTCTCTCTCAAATAAATAAAATTTAAAAAAAAAAAAAGGACATAAATCTCAACTTTTTGGTTCAGAAAACAGGACCATCTACATACCTGTAAGGAATGTGACAAGTCTACCACCTAAACAGCTCATGTTTGATTTCACAGCTTAGATGACTTGAAATAACACTGGCAGCACACAAAACTGCACCCAAATAAACGCTTAGATATAGCTTTATTAACTAAACTAGAAAAGCAATCCCTACAGTAAGTAATATCAGGTTTGGAAAGATGTCATGGACCAGGTTGGCTTTCACAAAAATGAAAGTCTATTTGAACAGAAACAGTTTTGTGTATGATGACTCTGAGAAACTACTATGACCACAAAAAGAGGCTGTTCTATTCTGTGAAGATTTCTACACACTAATAAAAGTAAACTTACAGAATAACCTTTTGGAAAAGAAAACGCTCGTCCCAATAGCCTTAAGGAGTACTTTACCTACACTGAGGTTGAACACTCCAGATTTATCTTGCCTTGACATAATACAAACTGTACCAACAGGTTTGGTGGCAGGAACACTGAGACAGGGCAAAGGGGGCTCTGCTCCTCCCCTCAACATGGTAAGGCCCTTGAGCAAAAAGAACACTCTTATTAACAGCAATCAAAACACAGCGAAACCTCGGCAGCAAGTCTATGCTTTCCTCAACTACAGAATGAAGGAATGACACTGGATCCATCGCTAACTCAAAGTACTATGGAAAAATCAAGCTCCTAAGAACCTTTCCTTCAACTTTTCACTTCCCCTTTTTATTTACCTGCTCTTTTCTAAGTCTCATATCTTATAGATGGTTCCCTGAAGTTTCTTTCTTCTCTTCTCCAAATTCCACACCCACCCACACTCCTTTCTACACCACTCAGACCCTCTACCATTCTCTGCCTACTCATCCAGCTCCTGCCAAATTAAATTTTCATAATAGAACTGACTGCAATAATAAAAATGTTTTATGTATATCTGTGCTGTCCAATACAGTAACCACTAGCACTTGTGGCTACTGAGCACTTAAAATGTGGCTGGTGTGACTAAAGAAATGCATTTTTAATTTTATTTAATTTTAACCAACTTAAACTTAAAGGTACATGGTAGCTACCATACTGGACAATGCAACAGACTGTCCCTTTCTGCTGCTACCACTTAAAACCTAATGAATTACCACTTTCCATCCACTAGGATGGCTATAATCAAAAAGACAGAGGGGTGCCTGGCTGGTTCAGTCAGTGAAGCATTCAACTCTTGATCTTGGGATTGTAAATTCAAGCCCCACATTGGGTGGAGAGATTACTTTTTTTAAAAAATCTAAAAAAAAAAAAAAAAAAAAATAGATGGTAACAAATGTTGTAAAGGATATGCAGTAATTAAAACCCTCACATGCAGCTGGAAGGAATGTAAAATTGTGCAGCCGCTTTGGAAAACAGTCTAGCAGTTCCTCAAATGCTTAAACACAGAGTTACCATATGATCCAGCAAGTCTACTCCTGGATTAATACCCAAGAGAAATGAAAACATTTGTCCACAAATTTATATACAAATATCCACAGACACATTATTCATAATAGCCACAAACTGGAAACAACCCAAACAACCTCAAAAAATTCTCCCAAATTAAACCATAACAGAATTCTTTGTTAGCATTTAAATTTTTACTTATCAACATGTATTTGTTATTTACTGGATACATACTACTATCACATAGTTCTGTTTATATGCCTTCTGCATACAAAATCTTTTTCTTTCAAGTCCAAATGTCTATCAACTGATGAATGGAGAAACAAAATGTGGTATATCCATCCGATGGAATATTATTTGGGCATAAAAAAGAAATGAACTACCAATACATAGTACAACCCTGAAAACATTATACCAGATAAAAGACACCAGACACAAAGAATCGTATACTGTATGATTCCATTTATACAAATTGTCCAGAATAGGCAAATTCATAGAGACAAAAGTAAATCAGAGGTTGTCAGAGGTTAGGGTAGCAGGAATGGATACTGACAGCTAACGGACACAGGGTTTCTTTTCTGGGATGAAACATTTAGAATTAGTCTGTGATAATGGCTGTGAATATACTGAAAACCAGTGAATTTTACAATTTAAAATGGGTGAATTGTGTGGCACATGAATTATATCTCAATAAAGTGGTTATAAAAACAAAACAAAAAACACCTGGGGAGCCTAGCTGGCTCAGTTGGAAGAGCATGCAACTCTTAATGTGAGTTCAAGCCCCAAGTTGGGTGTACAGATTACTTAAAAATAAAATCTTAAAGGGGAGTCTGGGAGGGTCAGTTGTTAGGCGTCTGCCTTCGGCTCAGGTCATGATCCCAGGGTCCTGGGATTGAGCCCCGCATCGGGTTCCCTGCTCAGCAGGAAGCCTGCTTCTCCCTCTCCCACTCCATCTGCTTGTGTTCCCTCTCTCGCTGTGTCTCTCTCTGTCAAATAAATAAATAGAATCTTTGAAAATAAATAAAATAAAATAAAATAAAATCTTTAAAAAAAAAAAACCTAATGAACATCAAACAAGGACTTCTAGAAAGTAGATCCGAACATTATAAAATACCCGATAAGTCGGGGCGCCTGGGTGGCTCAGTCGTTAAGCGTCTGCCTTCAGCTCAGGTCATGATCCCGGGGTCCTGGGATTGAGCCCCACATCGGGCTCCCTGCTCGGCGGGAAGCCTGCTTCTCCCTCTCCCGCTCCCCCTGCTTGTGTTCCCTCCCTCGCTGTGTCTCTCTCTGTCAAATAAATAAATAAAATCTTAAAAAAAAAAAAAAATACCCCATAAGATAAAGAGAAGGACTACAGTTTTGCAAAGATCAGAGAGAGACAAGCAGCATAGCCAAAAGCTTTAAAAATGCTGAGATACACACTGGTCCAAGACACTGGCAGCTTGAGATCTTAGATCTTAGACCACTCATTCTTACCCACATTGGACCCAAAGCTCCCTTTCTCCAACAAATATGTAAATATACCTTTACTACTGAAGTGGAATCCAAAGCTAACTTATTTATTATATACACACAGGTACTTTCTAAAAATATCTACATGATATGGCAACTAAAACATAAAAAATAAAAATAATTTGTAATAAATGTGAATTTCAATATGTGAATTTTCAAGCAAGACTATATGAGGAATAAAACAGTAAGAAATCCACACCTCTAAATTAAATCACTGTGAATTTGACTACAGAGAGTCTTGACTTGGGCAGTTTGTAGTACTGAAACTCAGATACCATGCCATCTATCATGCATGCTATCAACAATGTGATTTTCTAAAAGGATGAATCACTCTTAGTGTGATGGTTAATTTTATATGCCAACTTGACTGAGCCATGGAGTGCACAGACATTTGATTAAATTATTCTGGGTGTGAGGATGTTTCTTTTTCTTTTCTTTTTTTTTTTTGAATAAGATCTGGTTTTGTTTTGTTTTTAGGGTTTCTTCGTGAGGATGTTTCTGAATGAGATTAACATTTGAATTTACAGAGACTCCTGACTCTTTGAGTTGGGATGTTGGTCTTTTCCCATCTTTGGACTCCACTTGAAAAATTGGCTCTTCTTCCGTCTCAGTCCCACCAACTTTCAGACTTGAATTTACAAGTGATTCTCAGGCCTTCAGACTTGGACTGGAACTTACACTGTTGGCTCTCCTGGGTCTGAAGCTTGCCGATTGCAGATCTTGGTCCTTCTCAGCTTCCATGATCATGTGAGCCAACTCCTTATAATAAATCTGTGTGTGTGTGTGTGTCTAGATCCTACTGGTCTGTTCCTCTGGAGAACCCTGACTAATACATTTGGTAAAGCTGAAAACAAAACAATTTCTCCTCAATGTCTACAGTAACTGCATTCCTGGAAAATTCCATCTATACCAAAATTACACTTAAAA